GGAACATGTGGAATCGTATAAATCCTAGCTGGCTTAGCGTATCGGGGGTCAATCCTACCGCGCTCCACGTCGCTGAAAACTATGGCCTTATCACATGTCTTCAGGATTTCTATCACACGTTCTCGCTCCTGTGGGGTCAAATTTCCATCTCCGATGTCCATCCCTGCTATCCTCTCTTCCGTTAGGCGTTGCGGCTCGTTTTTCTTTCTTTCTTTGATTTCTTTCGCGATCTCTTCTTCTGATACCCCTTCCAGTGCCGATCGCTCGCGGCCCACCGCCGCCGGCCCAACTTTTTGAGCTACTCCCTTGTGTCGCTTGGGGAGCCCCCCATAGGGGGCCGTGCCCTTAAAAAAGACACAGATACCACACCGCCAAATTCCTCCTCTTTTTCCTTTGGGTACGAGTTGCCGTTCACTATTAACCGACTCCCTAAGTCTTCGACCTCCACCATCCGACCTTCTTCCTCTGTGAGCAGTGGTCCATATTTCTTCTCGCGGAATCGCACCGCGCGGCCGGAGATAGGCAACGACTTAATCTGATCATCGGGTCTTGCACCCACAGCGAGAGCTGCTCTGTTCCTCGGGTCCCGAGGCTCCACTGTCTCAATCATCACCCGCGTTCCGTCTGGTTTCTTAATGGACAATGTTTGGCTCCTATCAGGTCGCTCTATCGTCACCGCATGCACGTGACTGAGCCACGTTCGACCCAAGAGCAGGTCGGAGCTGCAGTTCTTGACTGCAAAGACAGGCAGGGTCACCCGCACCCCTTGGACCTCTATGGCTGTCTTGTGACAAACCCCAGTGATCTGTTGCTTTCTCCCATCAGTCGTCTCTATCTCGAATAGGTATGACCTATCGAGGCCCAGTCCAACTTGTACCGCCAGGTCCTCGTCTATGATGACAGCCTCACTGCCGTTATCAATCACAGCATCGAGTACCGCTCCATTGTTTATAATCGTCTCCACGGCTCCGCTACCAAGTATATAAAACTTGTCTGGAGGCACACCTTCCATTCCATCCAGAAGGACTGTCGCCATGCGATCCGCTCTGGCAGTCACTCCAGTTACTGCTACCGTAGAAACTTCCACCTTAAGGGCCCCCTGACCCTCCTCCGATAGAGGTATGCGAGTCTTCCGCGTGATCATCTGTAGCTCATCACGAGCCGGCTTCGATGCTGCCAGATACTCCAGAATAGAGCACTGCATGGGTTGCCGAAGGGCCCGCTTCAGTGGCTCGACCGTGTCAATCTCGTCCAGCGATTTCTTCATTAAGAACTTCTTCACTCCCCGCTTTCGCGGCGAAAGGATAACCTCCTCTCCATCAATCCGTTGCCCGTCCTTCTCCGCCATCACGTAATCCGTATCAGTTTTCTTCGATGTAGACCCTCTCGCCGACTTGGTGGCTGCCACCCTTATGGGTGTCGTCGCCATGTCCCCCTCAAAGGTTATCTTGATATTCTGGCTCCTGACCGGGTCCATTCCTCTACTCGTCTTTATTCTCCTTGCTTCGACATTCTCTTTCATCGAAGGGAACATCGATACATCTCCGAGATCGTCTGCCCACTTGACGTACTTGCGGTCGTCAAGCACGACAAGTCCCTCTTCTATTGCCTGTTTAAGGTCCGGGCAATCCCTCTTGATATGATCTTCTCCCCTACAATAGACGCATGAGTTCCTGGGAGTAGACGCCCCGTCGTCTGCGCCCCTAGACATCGGTTTCCTGGCCTCGTTGGGGTCAGGCGACTTTGGATATGGTTCTGATGAGACACCATATCCCCCTCTCTCATTCCGACTGCGCGAATCGTTGCGCCTGTCTCCTCCAAACCCTCCTTGCTCATACCGCCCTCGCGAATCATTCCGGCGGTCCCCCGAATCATATCGTCCTTGCGACTCATCGCGTCGGTCCCCTCGGTTGTACCATCCTCGCGTCTCGTCGCGCTGCTCTCTCGCTTCTCCCCCGCGCTCAAACCGTCCACGTGACCCTTCTTGTTGTTCCCAGTCCCTATCTCCTCTCTCATATCTACTTCCTCTGTAGCCATGTCGACCCGAACTCTCATATCTGTCGTCCCTATATCCGTGCCGGTCCGATCTCTCGTATCTGCCGTCCCTCTCCCATTGGTCGCGGGAGTCGCCTCTACCCCGGTCGGCCTCATAGCGAGGGTTTCGTGGGTAATCATCCAGCCTCCTTGCTCGCACAAACGGCTCGCGATCTCTGCGGTCTCGGTCTATCTCATCGTCCCTGCGTCGCCATAATTCATCGTTTTCTCTCTCCCCCTCGTACGATAATCAATCAGTGTCCGAGGATTTCTATCCTCGACACTCCTCCAGGGATCGTTGTTCCTACGGTCCCAGCGAAGTGAATAGGGCCCTCCAAGTTTGTCCCGGTAGGCCGTGGCCCCTGTAGCGGTCATAATCTCTGTAACCTGTCTCGTTAATCCCTTCACCAT